TTCTCAGAAGGAGTAAGATATCTGCCCCATGACGCCACTGGCCTGAGTCATGTCTTGACAGGTCCCGACCCTTTGTCACAGGCAGCCTTTGCTACAGGTATTGCTGCAGAATTTTGTCCCTAGGGCCTCTTCGTCTATTTTAAAGACTCCCCCACTTCGGGGAGTCTAGCCCAAGCCCTTGCGCCTATGAATTCATTCTCCACTGGCAAATTCCAGACAGATTGCTGCCTTAATCTTTCCTTCTTTCTCCCCCTTGTCCTGGCTGTGGCCTGTTTTCAATCCATAATAGTCATGACAAACCCTTCTTGAGCAGTTAGCATATACTAGGCACTAAGCTAAATGCTCTGCTTGCACTATCTCACTTAATCCTCACAACAGCCCTATGAGGGAGGTGCTATGATCTTTCCATTTTGCAGATAAGGAGACTGAGGTCTAGAGAGGGGAAAGTCCCTTGGCCAACATCCTGGAGCTGGAATACTGTATAAGCTTTGCATTGTATTTAGCGGCTAATAACAGGGACCCCAAATAACAGTGGCCTAAGCAAGATAGCAGTTTATTTACTTTGTAAAGAAATAAGTCTGGAGATGGGTACTCAGAGTTGGTCATGATGTCATCAGTGACCCAGACTCCGCCTTTCTGTTTTGCCATCCTTAGTATGTGGCTTACATTCCCAAGGATGCCTCATTGTTGTAGTATGGCTGCCAATGGTCCAGCCATAACTTTCTTCCCAGGTAGGAAGAAAGTGGGGGAGGAAAAAATGGCCTTGCTAGCTGAGTCAGCAGCTTAAAAGTTCTTCCCCTGAAGTCTCAGCAATGGCTTTTGTGTTTATACCTCATTGGCCATCCCTATTGCCAGGGGAGTTGGAAATACAACTTTTAGCTGGGCACGTTGCCACCCCAAATATAATCAGGGTTTTGTTATTCAGGTATAAAGGGAGAATGAAGAGCAAACGTTCATAGTAAAAGATATGAACTCAGAGAGTTGACTGCAAAGTCCCATTTTAATCCAGTAGTTCCTGTCCCAGGAACTGTGCTCCTGGGTCCTTTCCTTTCCCTTCTCTGTGGCTTATTTCTGTTCTAGGTATGCACCTGGTGGACAGCTTGGTGGTGCCATTCTCTGGTGGGCCACTGGGGGGCAGCAAAGCACATGCTGCCCACTGAGCCTCCGCAGCTCAGAGGCCTCCCGCCCAGAGTTCTGGGTATGAGAAATTAGACATTCCAGGCAAGGCCCAAGTCCAAGGAGACCCTCCCCAACCTGGACACATGTCTGGGGTTTCACATCCTCGCTTAGGGTCACCCAGCGTCCAGATGCTTCCTTGGGNAAAAAAGAAGCCTCTTCTCATACCCGGGCAGCCATCTGCCATGTCTTCCTCATGTGCCAAGCTGTGGGAAGAGGAAGGGACTGGGGGTGGGGGTGGGGTGGGGGAGGGAGAGAGTGCTGCTGGGTCCTGCACTACCAGAAGGGGTGGCTCGCAAATTCTCTTCCTTTTGTCATTGTGGACAGGGCACTGCAGAGAGAGAAAGGAACATGTGTTGGCTTTGACCTCCCTGGGTCCGGTGTCTGAGCAGAGGGAAAGTACGATTCTTTCAAGATGCCGATGGTAGGTAATAAGAACTCCTATGTACAGACAGCTTACTGTGGCTCAGGCACTGTGCTGTCCACTGTGCACATTATCAGCTCATCTAATCCTGGCAACACTTCTATAGTGCCCATTTTGTGGATGAGACTGGAGGCTCAGATGTTACCCAAGGTCACATTATGCAATAATGAGGACTAGCCTCCCCTCCGTCCTGGCAACCCAGGGGCATGGGTTTCCATGTTAACAGATAAGCAGTTGACATCACCCAGGGGTAGTCTTCTACCTCCAGCCTTGCCCCAGGCACCCCTTCCTGCTCTCTGCCCTTGAGCTGAAATGTGGGCTTCTCCAGTCACCTAACCTGTTGTTCCTGCCCACCCATCTCACCCAATCAAAGAAACACAGGAGAAGAGACCCTAAAGATCCCCAGGAGCCTTCAGAGAAGGTTAAAGAGCAGCTGGCCGAGGTGGAACTTCGGAAGCTGAGGCAGCAGTTCCAGAAGATGGTGGCAAGTCGGAAGTCCTTTAACTTCCACTCCCAGCAGAAGCTCATGAGCCAGCAGTAAGTGATGGTTGGAGTTTGTACTGAGTGAAGTGGGAGACAAGTTCGGGTTTAGCTTCCTGGGGTTTGCCTTCGCATGTGGCCTTGGGCCAGGGACCTACTTCCGAATCCAATCTGGGGACCCTTTGGGATAGCTTCAGTGGGAGGGGAGATATATTCTCAGGATCTGGGGTGTCTTGGGGACTCCAAGGGGAGCAGGACACCTGTGTCCCAAGGAAGGACCCCAAATAATTTCTGGGTCATGTTTCTTTCTACACATGGATTTTGTTATTCTCTCTCTGAATCTCAGCTCTGGCTGGTGGGAGATGGCCACCCCCAACTCTTGACCTACCAAGAATCTCATAGAGACAGAGACTGTTGTAAATCAATTCCAATACCCAGTTCTCAGGAAAGGGAGAATCTGATTGGCTTGGCTTGGGTCAGGTGTCTATTCCTGGTCCTATCAGCTGTGGCTGGAGGCTGGGGCACAGACACAAAATGGCCATGGGTATCATTCCCATGGTTCTGGCGCTGGATTTAGGGAGTGTCCAGAGAAGGGGAGATCACCAGTCTGTAGACTCCCCAAAGGACATTTCCTGCATGTGTGTCCTTATGGGATCTGCAATATAGAATGTTTGAAATTGGATTGTTCTAGAATTATGGCATGTGTAGGTTCTTTGGGCAATAGGAAGGTGTTTCTGTGGGTTGAGTAAACATTAAACCGGCGTCCTTAGAGTCCCTCCAAGGGGATGTAATTCCTTAGCTGTATCCATAATGTTTGTACAGGCAGAAACTGCCCATTATTAGATAGAAAATATTTTTTTGTTTTTTTACATTTTTTTTTAACATTTTTATTGGGTAACAGTGTTTTTTTTCCAGTACCTATCAGCTCCAAGTCAAGTCGTCCTTCAATCTAGTTGTGGAGGGCGCAGCTCAGCTCCAAGTCCAGTCACCATTTTCATTCTAGTTGCGGGGGGCACAGCCCACCATCCCATGTGGGAATCGAACAGGCCACCTTGTTGTTAAGAGCACGCACTCTTAACCAACTGAGCCACCCGGCCGCCCCAGAAAATCTTACTGTTAGATGATACGTGAGGTTTAGAAGATAGGGAAAAGGGGTTCTATAGGTTTTCCATGGATTTGATTCACTCAGAGCCACTGCTAGTCCATATGGGATCTTCCTGCGAGTTAGAAAAAGGGACCCTTTCTCAAGATGCTTTACTGCCATCTGTTGGAAACATTGTCATCATGTAGAGATTTTGTTAGAACAAGACCAAGTGTCTCCCAGAAAAGTGTAATAAATCAACAATTCAATGATATTTTTTCAAGCAGATGATGCCCCCTTGGGCTGTGAAGTCCACAACCTGCACACCTGTGCCTGGTGACCCTGATTCAGTTTGCCCCTTGTGGGCATCAGGAGATGCCCCTTCCTGGTGTGTCTCTGACAGTTTGTCTTGTGCCACCCTTCAGCACCGCACTCTACCTTGCCCCAGCCCATTTTATCTGGCTTCAGTGTGATGGAACTGAAAGGAAAGAGAGTGGAGATTTTCAATTCTTCCGAGTGAAACACCTAAAAATAGGGCCAGAACTTGGGTGAGGTGCCTTGGGTGCAATACGAGTATTTAAGAAGGTGCTTTCTCTGCATTGCTGACCCTGCACACGTACCATCCTGAAAGTGAAGACCTCCTTAAATTCAGGGGCACCTCATTCCCTCACCACAGTCCCAGCCCTGCCTACAAGACAAACAGACATTCCTTTTTGTATATATATATATATATATTTTTTTTTTTTTAGCTGAGCCATCCTGCCACCTGTTGGCAGCTCAGCGGCAACTCAGCTCGGGCTGGACACGAACCGCTGTTGCTCCAGACATTCCTTTTGATTTGACTGATCCCTCTGAAAGCCTAATTCTGATAGACTCTTGTGCTTCACCTCCCCTTTTCTCTCCACTTTAACAAAGATCCCCTTCCAAGAGGGGCTTAAATGGGGGAGAAAAGTCTCAGCTGCCAGGTTTAGAAGACTAGATGCTCTAGAACTGGATATACACTCCGTGGTCCCTAGCCACATGTGGCTGTTTACATTTGCAATTAGTTAAAATAAATACAATTTAAAATTTCAGTTCTTCAGTTGCACTAGCCGCATTTCAAGTGCTTAGTAGCGACCTATGCATGGTGGAGGCTATTGGACAGTGCAGCTGGAGACCATTTCCTTCACTGCAGAAGGTTCTGTTGGACAGTGCTGCATTAAGACAGCGGTCGGCAAAGGACGGCCCACGGGCCTAGTCTGACTGGCTGGCTGTTTTTGTAAAAGTTTTATTGGAGCACAGGCTCACCTAATCGTTCATGTACTGTCTGTGGTTGCTTAGTTGAGTAGCTGCAACAGAGATGTCTGGCCCACAAAGCCTAAAATAGTTACTCTTTGGCCCTTTGTAGAAAAATCTTTGCAGACCCCTGCCCTAGATCGTTCTTTGCTGTTTTAGTGTGGTGCTTCAGAAACTCTCATGGGCGTCTGAGACACTTGAGGATCTTGTTACGAAGCCGATTCTGATTCATTCGGTCCCTGGTTGGGGCCTGAGCTTTTGCATTTCTCCAAGTGTCCAAAGGACATTGAGCAGCTGGTCTGCAAACCGCAATGAGCTGCGGGTGGAGGGTCCCCAGAGTTGGTTAGAAACTCAGCCTCTGTACCACTTCCTGTTGTTCAGTTGTGCAGTCACTTGAGCCTTCTTTTGTCTTTTCAAAATCCCCATTTGTCTTCTGCAGAGTAGACACAGGGAGAAAAGGAGGAAACTCTTATCAGCCAATTTAACAAATCTTTAGCACCCTGAGTAGAGAGAGACACTGGTGGAGGAGGTTAGAGGTTACTGTGTATCCCTTGCTGATGCACAACTGAAAAATTCTGTCTGATGGGTTTGCCTCTCATCAGAGATAACTGGCTGTAAAGTCTGGAAAGGAAGTCTGCAAAATCAGAAAGATAGATGCCAGTGAGCTGGGGGCAAGAGAGAATGTGGGCGCTCCCACCATGTCTGGGTCATGGGTTTTGACAGGAACAGCTGCACATGGTTCCTTACGGGGGGAATACCCCTCAGAGAAAGGCAGAGCAGTGGAAGTTGCTGGGAACAGGGTCGCAGGCGACCTGAGTTCTAGACGTGGACCCCAGACGTGGGCAAGTCCCTTCCACTGCTCAGGGGGGGATGTGCCTCTGAGTCTCACACAGTAAAGGAGTCTGGAGTGTCTGATCAAAGTAAACTCAGGGCTTTGGGGTTCATCGTGTGCTGCTCTCCCCATAGCAAGGAAATTCAGGCCCTGCAAGAGGAGCAGGATGAGATCAACCTGCTTTTGAGTCTCATTAAGTCTTCTAAGAACTTGGATCTGAATGAGAAAAACTACGTGGAGCTGCGTTTCCTGCTGCAGACCAAGAAGGACTATGAGTCCTTGATTAAATCGATGAAAATGCTGTTGGCTGAACTGGATGAGAAGGTATGCTTTCTCGTAAAGGGTTAACCAGAACACAGAGAAAGGGGAAGTGGTGGAGGAAATACCCATGATGCCTTAGGCCAGATTTGACACTTCCTCCCCTCTTCCCCTAACCACCTAGGCTTTTCTGTGGTCACTGTCTACCACCTGTAAGCTCTGATCTCCCAGTTCTATTGCTCTATTTCTCCACTGTGATCTCCAGGGCCTCCCCACTACACTTGGAATAAATCCCCAAACCCTTAACTGTATCAATCAGGAGATGTTAAGTTATGTTACAGTAACAAACACCCCCCACCCCCAACTCAGTGGTTTAAAATAATAAAGGTTTCTTCCTCATTTATGCTTCATGTTTATCGGGGATGAGCTAGAGGTTCCGGTGTCTTCTTATCCTGGGACCAGGCTGATGGGATAGCGACTAACCTGAGCATTACCAGGTGTGGTAGAGAAAAAGGGAGCTCTGGACAGTCCCACACTGCCAACTGAATGCTTCAGTGACATGTGTCACTTCTGCTCATGACTCATTGGCTCAAAATAGTCTACCAAACCCACAGGTGCTCCACATATCTATACCCATAGTAGTCAACTCTCCTCATCCTCAAAAGGGTCTAGGAAGTGCATCCCTCCCATGGTTCTCACATTTGCTGGATGGCGTCATTAACTGTATCCCTTACTGTGGCTTGAAAGGCCTTTATGATCTAGCTCCTGCTGACTCCTCTGGCCTCATCACACATCATTCCCTCCTTAACTCATCTCACCCCAGCTGCAAAAGTCTTGTTTTCAAATATGCTAAGCTTTTTTTCACCTCAGGGCCTTGGCACAACACCCTTCCCCGCCCCACCACCACCACCACCACCACCCCAGCTGCTTATCCTTTAGGTCTCAACTTAAATGTGACTTTTCTCAGGGAGGCCTTTTCTTGCCCTCTCTCTAGTTTAAAGACACCCCCCCGCCTTTATGAGTCAGGTCCCTGGCCAGGAACAAATAACATGCTCAGTAGGGCACTTTGAGAAGAGTTTTATGAAGGGACGATTTACAAGGCTGTGAACACGGAGTAGGGACAGTGAAGCATTGTAGGGTGAGTGACAGTGGACAGGAACCTGGAGACACAGAGCAGGCCAGGGGGGGATAAATACCCCAACCTCTCTCTCTTCTAACCCTCCAATCTGCAGTGCAAAGGAGCTATTGTGGACGCCTTCCAGGTCAGCCCCCTGGGGGACAGAGCAAGGTGGGTGGATCTCAGGGGGCAAACAGAAAATCCCAGCACCAACCCCCACTTCCCTCTTTCATGGCACCTTCTTCATAGCACTTCTCACAATGGTAATTATCCTTAATATAGTTGGCCCTCCCTGCTTGGTCACAAGGTGACTGCCAAAGCTTAGCTGGTATAGCTTCTCATATAATGACATCCAATGGTATGAAGGAAGGTATGGGAGTGTTCTTCTTATTAGGGAGAGAATATTTCACAAAATTTGATACAAGGATTTTGCTGGAAAATCCTTCCAGTAGATTTCCCCTCATTAGCCAGGGCTGGGGTATATGCCCATTTCTAGGCCAATTGCTGGCAAAGGGAAATGGAATTTCCGTAACTGGTTCCGAGTAGACCAGGGGTAGCAAACTACAGTCTATGCCACCTGCCTGGCCACAGTTTTCCACCTCTAGTATAGATTCCTCTCTCATTGTCCCATGGTGATGGCTGAGATTGTGCTGTACAGACTTTCCTGAAGGCTTGGGGATACCTGAAGGGGGAATTAAAACTCAGGGACACTAACAGGATCCCAGATGCAACCGCTCCCAGAATTCATCAGCCCAACCTCTGCACTCCCAGGAGGCACTGGGGTTCCTCACTCCCAGCCAGAGGCCAGCCTTCATGGGGCTACTGACTTTACCTTTTACTGAGGACATTTATTTTTTACCGAGCAAGTAGTCTTCTGGACATAGGTGGCCTTGGCGTTGTTTCACCTGCTTTAAAAGATGACAGCAGCCACACCTTCCCCAGCACCTTGACCCTGCACCCTCCATCCCACCCCGTCTGTGGGCCTCAGAGGAAGGGCTGCCTGCTGCACTTCTGCAAGGCCAGGCCCCTCTCTGTTAGGCTGCCCTCGGCCCCTCCCTCCATGAAGACCTGGCTTCAACAGTGACCATCCCCATTTTTCTCTTCACCTTCTTTTTCCTTGTCTTTTTAAATCTATTAATAAAACAAACAACCTGAAAACCAAGCACAAACAAAAACCAAAATAAAGCACAACACTCCTAGAGTTCCAAATTACTGCCAGCTTTTCCCCTTTCTAGAAGCTGTCCGCATTCAGCTCCCTTTCTAGGGTAGGCACTGTCCTCTGTATCACTCCCAATGGTGAAAGCAACGTCCCCTTGTGCTGAAACTGCTGTCTCTGGGGTCACCAAGGACCTTGGCCTCCAAACCCAGTGCGTTTGCCTCGGTTTCCAGTCAGAGACTTTGAATCTGTGACTACCACATCCTCCAGCAGGAAGGGACCTGCCAAATACGCAGCCTGTTTGTGGATCCCATTAGGACAGTGGTTCTTAAATCTGTCATTCTTAACACCCATTTCTTTTCCTTCCTCCTTAAGGTAGCTTCCTTTCTGCCTCCCTCCTCCCCCCTCTCTCCTTCCACTGAGTTATTAATTATACAGCCAAATGCACATATCTTAAGGGTACAGCTTGATGAATTTTTACATATTTATACACCCGTGTAACCATCACCAAGATCCAGATATAGAACATTCCAGCACCCAGAAGGTTCCCTTGGGCCCCTTCCACTAACCACCCACCAAGGAACCCCTATTATGACCCCTAGAATCATAGATTCATTTTGCCTGCATATAAATGGCCTCTTCTAGTACACGTTCTTCGTGTCTGACTTCTTTCTCTCAGCGTTATGTCTGCCAACACCTCTTTGTGACAGCAAATATTTTGCCACACCACCTTCATCATCCTGAAGTGAAATTCATTGATGATATAACACTTTACTCTTATTCTTTTAAATCGATACAACGCACTAACGGTCATTTAAAGGAAAAATAAAAGAAAGTTATTTATACTGAAATTATTTCTTTAAATAAATGTAAAATTATATATTTTGATATGTGAAGGCTCTGGCTTGACTTGTCTAGAACAGGGCCAGCAAACTGTGCAGATAGTAAATATTTTGCGGGCCACAGTGCAACTACTCCACTCAGGAAGACAGCCATAGACAATAAGAAATAGGCGTGACTGTGTGCCAATAAAACTTCATTTACACAAACAAGCAGTGGGCTGGATTTGGCCCAGGGGCCGTAGTTTGCATACCCCTGGTCTGAAAGATGTAGTTAGAGGCATGTTACTGATACACAGAATCACTGAGGGTTCCACACTGCAGGCTAATTGGGGCTCAAAGGACATGATCCAGGTTGTGCTGGTGACATAATTTCCAAAATGACCAACTCTTGGTAAAGTTCCAAACAAATGAAAGAGCATCCTCTTGGTTTATGCAGTGACTACATTCCTGGATGATTCAGTAGCTTTTAGAACTGCATGAAAACTACTGTGTGTTTCTATAGAGAAGACAGTTTGAGTCTAGGTACAGAAAATTGTAAAGAGCTTCTCCACCTGCATAACATCCAGAGGGACACCGGACAGTTACAACAGATGGGGGACAATTTCTGGATGTTTGGTGCAGGATGTGTGACATCTCATGACCTACCCATTAAGTGCCACTAGTGTCCCAACGTTGTAAGAGCCAAAAAACACTCCACAAGGTTACAGAAGGCTCTTTGTGTGTGTGTGTGTGTGGGGGGGGGAATGGCATTTCTGTTGGAAACCATGTTTTTAGGGTAAGGTGGAACTTATACCCACAGGTGAGTGACATTTACATGCACAGGTGAGAGCAAAAACTCTATATTGACTCATTTTACATCAAACTGGCTAAGACCAAGTTGAATTGAGCATGCATCCGAGAGAGAAATAAAAATTCCATTTATAGGAAAAGAAAGACCATTGCAGTGTTTGTCTTAGCACGCACGAGTTAGTGAACTGTTGAATTTGTACCCATACAGGTGTTAACACAGCTGCATTTCCCGTCTGTCTCTTTTTTTTTCAGATTGTTCAGATGGAAAAAAAAATTATAAACCAAAAACAGATCTTCACAAAAATACAGGAGGCCAATAACCCCTGGAAACTGCAAAAACAGATTCACGTGTTGGAAACCCGTTTAAATCGTGTACGTAAAGTGTTCTCTGCACCTTTGCAACCAGCTCTGCCTCCCTGTGCTCAGATAAAGAATGATGCCTGTGGAGTCATTAGCAGAACATATGCATGGAGTGGTTGACTCAGGAGGTGGTGAGCCAATGGTGTACATCTAGGCAGGGCAGCCTGTTAGAATTTACCAGCCACCCACTATCTTCCTCCTACTCGGTTGCATCCTTGCTTGTTGGCCTGTTGTTACCCATGATGCCCTTCTCCTTCTTGCTCTCGGCACCTTAGCACATGCTGCTGTTCCCCCACCCTGTACCCCAAGCCCCACCCCTTCTGGGAAGCCTGATCTTAGTTCCTTGCTTCAAAAACTCCTGCTTGTTTTCAAGAAGCAGCTCAAATATTACCCTTTACCAGACAGAATTAGGTAGCCCTTCTTCCCCCGTGCCAATCTGTGCATGCCTCTATGTGGGCTAGTGCCTTTTGGGGTCTCTAAGAAATATTAGGCAGAGACATGCATAACTTGGTAAAAAGAAAAGGGGTGTTTCCTGACCACCTTCAGTCTACGGTGACTTTGGCACTAATCAGGATTCTCTAAATCGCAAATTGGATGAAGTATAAAAAGGTAATGTATTGGCCGTAGAATTGAAAAATTCAGGCATAGGTGGATCCAAACCTGTCTTTAAGACACTGTCTCTGTCCATCTCTCCTCTGGGTGGACTTCATTCTTAGGCGGCCCCCAATGTGAACAAACGCCAGCAGAAAAGGAGCAGAGAATTCAGTCCCAGGTCCCAGGGTTCCCATTGGGGCAGCTTGGGTCATGTGCCCATCTCTGAGCCAATCACTGTGATCTGAAGAATGGAATCCGTGGACTTGAGTCACGTGACTACCCTTGGCCTTCTCCACTCCCACGTTGGGGAGAGCAACCCTAACTATATGGTCTGAGATTCAGGGAGAAGTGATTCCCTTAGAAAAGCAAAAAAGAAAGGATGAAGGAATGCTGGGGAGGTACAAACACATTCCAGTCTGGCTTGTGAAATTGCAGCTGCCAGGATGCGAGCCAGATGAGATGGAAAGTGACTTGATTTGGAGGGAAGCCAATCACCACACAGAAGCTCTTATCTTTGCCAAAACTCTGGCCACCAGGCTTTAACGAGGCATGGCTGAAATGAATTTGATCTGATCTCTGTCTGCCTTGTCCAGTAGCCTGGAAGCTGCCTGAGGGCAGGGCAGTGTCTGTCTAATAATCCCAGCGCAGTGATTTGCAGCCATGCCTCAGAATGGCTAGGGCGCATGTTCAAATGCAGGTTCCTGGGGCCCCTCCACCGTCAGGGAATCAGAGCCTCCCCGGCTAGGACAGGCATCTGCACTATATTAACAACCTCAGTGAGGCGGAAGGTCCCCTTGGTTAAGANGGGTTCTCGTGGCACTGTGTGAACTCCTGGGTGCAGCTACACCTGAAGCCCTCCGACTTCTTAGTTATGTGAACCCATTTGTTTCCTACATTGGGATTCTTGCAGTCAAAAATAGACCTGAATGCTTTAACAATGACTTTGGTCGCTCAAAATCGCGAGTCAGTTCATGCCCCAGTTCCTGGACTTCAGACAGGGTCAGAAATCAGTACCCCTTCCCCAATTTGCCAGAAGACAAGTCCAAACAAGTTCTACTTTATCTAAAATTAGAAAATTACAATTAATGGATGTGATTTTTTTTTCTAAATGAGCCATATTCTTAGCATGAATGTGAGGTCTCTTCCTCTTAAATGACCATGGGGCCCGTCTAAGCACATCTGTGGGAGAAAAATCCCAATGGCAGCCTAAAGGAAAAGATATCATAGAAGCCAGGCTCCACCAATGCTTGAGCTTTTTGGAAGAAAGGGCTGTGGTCCTCTAGTTACCATGCCAGTGAAATGTGGCCCTTGCTAGAAATAGTCCTGAGTACCTGTGAAGGTCTACTTTAAATAAAGAGTCACAAAGATTCAATAATAATCACAGCAGGGCCATCACTAGATCATACCCTACCCTCATGGAAATTAGCAAAGGGCCTTTCTTACTCAAAGCACTTCTGTCAGAGAAACACTATGAACAAATACACGACCTCCTGTTTATTTGAACATGGCCTCTGGATGGATTTTTATCTGCAGGACGTGTGGCCACATGGTATCCACAAGCCACTCAGGCTGCAAATAAGATGGAGGTAGAGAAATGAGGCAGCCACCCAGCTAACAGACCAGGGGCAGGGATGGTGTTACTGGGCGAAGTGAGAGGAGAGCAGGGGCCAGCCTCCCCCACAAAGCCANTGTGACTTTGAGGAAGTGATTAAACCTCCTCCCTGAGCCTCAGTTTTCTCACCTGTCAAATTGAGATAATAATCGTCCTCCCATCATAGGGCTGTTACTTCCATTTTGTTACTAATAATTGCCCAAGTAAAGAGATGGGGTGGGAATTGGGCTCTGCCACCAGGAGAAACTGAAGAAGACCACAGAGGAGGCAGATAAGTATGAGAACAGCTACAAGGAGATCAACAGGAACTTGGAGCATCTCAAGAGCTCGGTGGAGAATCTGCTTACGAAGATAAATTGTGACACCACCAAGATCCTGGTGCAGTTAGGGGAGACAGGGAAAATCACCGAGGCCAACCTCCCACAGTACTTTGGTGAGTCAAGCTGGGGTCCTTTGGATTTTTAGGAACCATTTCCAGAGCTTTCTGTGATCAGGCAAGAGGGCTTGTTCTTTTGGTGCTGGTGAGTCTTGTGGTGGTGAAGCATGCCAGCCTGCCTGGGTTCAAATCCTGGTTCTACTCTTACTGTTGTACTCTTACTAGCTGTGTGACTTTGGGCAACTTCCTGAACCTCTCTGTGCTTTAGTTTTTTCATCTTTAAAAAAAATGAGATGTAAACCTAGTATCTATCTTATGAGGTTCCTAGAGAAAAACTATATGATGATCTCAATAGATGCAGAAGCATTTGACAAAATTCAACATTCATTCATGATGAAAACCCTCAACAAACTAGAACCAGAAGGAAACTTTTTTAACCTATTAAAGGGCATCTACAAAAACACCTACAACTAATCTCATACTTAATGGTGCAAAACTGAATGTTTTTCTTCTAAGATCAGGAATAAGGCAGGGATGTCTGCTCTCCTATTCGATACTGTATTGGTTGTCCTAACCAATGCAATAAGGCAAGAAAAAGAAATGAAAGGCATACAGATTGGAAAGGAAGAAATCCAAGTGCTCAGAGTGGTGCCTGGCATGTAACCAATGCCTATTAATGAGAACACACATTTCATAGGTCCTGAGCTCAGACTAGAGAGGGAGGGATGCACCTACCCAGATCTTGACAATTCGGAATGAATAGCTTTTCCTGCTCTTAGAATAAAACCTCAGGTTTTATTGTATTTAATAATACCACTCGTGTTTGGGAGTTTCCCAAGACAGCCCCCTCCACCAGGTTCAGTGGGTCACCCAGGAGGTGCTTCATTCCGCCAGCAATGAGTTATGACAACACATGTGAGATGTTGATTGTCAACCAGGGGAGCTCATCAGAGACTCCGTGCCCAGGGTTTTGGTTGGAGGCTGATTACTCAGGCACCTGTAGCCTGGTACATACCCACATTCACATTCCCTGGAAGGAAAGCCGGTAGGTAGCCTAAACCACGTTTATTTTGTACACATAGTTTAGGCACAGTGAGTCACTCTTACCAGTTAATGGAGGTAGGAGCCTTCTTAAAATCCTGGTTCCCTGCTGCCAGTCCAGGCCTGTCAGTGGATACCAAGCAGGCCTCCTGCATTAACTTTTTCCTGCCCACAGCCCATCGGCGTCTTCAGAGCCTGGCCCCTGCTTATACTTCCCATCTCCTCCTGTCCTCCCTCCTTGCTCACCACCTCCAGTCACACTGTTCTCCTCTCTATATTTCCAACCCTCCCCTCAACTCACTCCCACCTCAGGGCCTTTGCACAAGCTGTCCCTGGAATACTCGTGCCATGCTCAGTTGTTACTCATTCTCAGATCCCAGTTTAAACGTCCCNTAATTCTTTTTTCGATTGGAAAGATAATATATATATGTCTGTGCGAAAATGTAATTCAGAAAAATACAAAGAAAAAAATTCAAGTCAGCAAAACATCACCCCTTGGAGTTAATGTCCATTAATATTTTGGTGACATTGCTTTATGAAAGCAGCGTGCCCTCAAGCCTATACCTGCGCGCGCGCGCACACACACACACACACACACACACACACACACACACGCAGACCTCATGGACATACAGACATAGATACACACACACACACACACACACACCTGTGCAGACAGACACACAGACACACACATGCACCCATGCAGAACCCCACAGACATAGACACACACACACACACACACACACACACAACATAGATAGCCACTTATAGTGTTGGGATCATACTGGATGGTTCAGACTGTTTTGTAAACTTTTGTCCCCAGCAATTCATCATAGATACCTCCCAACATCATCGGTGTTCTTTTTAATGGCGTCTGGGGACCCTGGATGCTCTGTAGTAGAATCATAGGATGCTTCTTAAAAATGCAGATTCCTCAAGCCCTACCTCATACCTGCAAACCTCTCTAAGAATGGGCCAGGAATCTTCATTGTAGCAATGTTTGTATTTCGGACCATTTCCCCCCATGATAGGAATGTACCATTATTGATTGAACTGACCCCCTCTCAGTAGACAGTTAGGTTGTTCCTCACAGGGGCTGTTATAAATAATAATAAGATGGACAGCCTTCTGCCACTTTTGCCCACTTGTCCTGTTGTTTCCATGGGACAGTCTCCTGGAGATGGACTTGCTCAGTCAAAAGGTGCATGCCTTTTATGTCTGGACACATTGATCTAGCCCAGGGATTCTCAAATCTGGTCCCTGGGCCCGCAGCAGCAGCAGCAGCTCCTGGGAACTTTCTAGAAATGCACAATCTCAGGTCCCACCCAGACCTATTGGAGCAGAACCTCTGAGAGTGCTGCCCAGCACTCTGTGTTGTCACAAGCTTCCGGGTGATTCTCACGCTAGAGTTTGAGAACCCCTGCTCTGGGGCTGCCAGTCCATTACAGTAGCTGCTAGCCACCTGTGGGGATTCAAGTTGAAATGAATTTAAATTACATAAAAATTTTAAACTAGCTCCTCCATGGCACTGGCCACATTTTAAATGCTTAATATACATGCGGCTAGTGGCTCCAGTGCAGGTCGGTACAGATAGAGAACGTTGCCACCATCGCAGAAAATCCTATCGACCACACTATTCTGGATGTTTCTCCAGAAAAAAATGAATCATCCACCCTTCCCATGCCCTCACTGTTCTTTTAATTAGGAAACATCAGACCAAACCTCCAGGGGCATAAGAGGAGCTCAGGGGTGCTGGGGCTCCTTGGATCAGATCATTTTANGAAAATATGTGTTTTCCGATGGTCTTAGGTGACCCCTGTGAAAGGGTCGTTCGACCCCCAAAGGGGTCGCGGCCCACAGGTTGAGAACCACTGACTTAGAGGCTGAAATGTTAACAGTGGGATTTGATCTAATTGGTAATGTTGTTTTCCCTTTTATACTTTTCTAAATTTTCCATGTCTTCTATAGTGAACTGGCATTGCATTAAAAAATCACACCCCAAAAAAGTAGTTTTAAAAGAAAAAATAAAAGCTAAGTGAAGACACTCAAAGGTTAAACCCTTCTTTCCTATCCTCTGAATTATGTCTTAAAGGCCCATCGTGGTTGAGCTGTTTGTTTCTCTGAAAAATGAGCTCTTCACCTTTTTAGTGGTCCCGCCTCCTGCCCCTCGTGGGCATGGGATGAGGAGACCCTCCCGCAGGCCCAGAGGGGGCGACATACCAAGAGCAGCAAAGGTGTCCCTCAGATCGTTCTTGTCGATGAAGCCATCCCTGTTCTGGTCCATGATGGTGAAGGCCTGTGAAAGGGATGTGGTTGGCTGGTCAGCCCAGGAGAAATTAGGGGGAGAAGCCCAGAGGCTGGGCCCTGGGCTGGGGAAGGGGGATTCTGGGATTTTCAAGGGACATCAAAGGATACTACATCCAGAGTCAAAGAGTTAAAGCAGTCTGGCAGTTCCTCAAAATGGTAGGCTTAGAGTTACCACAGGGTCCAGCCATTCCCCTGCTAGGTAGCTCGTCCAAAGAATGAAAACATCTGTTCACACAAAAACCTGAACGTGAATGTCCGTCGCAGCATGATTCATTGTAGCCAAAAACTGGAAGTGGCCCACATGTCCATCAACAGATGGATGGATCAACAAAATGTAGCCTATCGATGGAATACTATTCAGCCGTAAAAAGGAAGGAAATAATGACACACACTGGAATATAGGTGACAGGCATGAGGTTTCTCTTGGGGATGATGAAAACATTCTGAAATTAGATAGGAATGGTGGTTTGCCAAATTCTGTGGCTATACTAAATAACCACTGAATTTACTTGAACAAGGTGAGTTTATGGTCAATGAATTACATCTCTATAAAGCTGTTCTTGAAAAAAGTTAAAAACTGGGGTCTCACCTGCCCTTCCGACTGGAAAGCCCACACGATCAGTAAAATGGGGCTGGTAATCTTGTCCCGCTAGCTCGCAGGGAGACTCCAAGAGCTTTGTAAATGCCCGGGTAGTTTATAAATGGTGTGTCATCTCTATATTTTTTGAGTTCTTTGTTCCAGCTGGTTCCTGAAAGTGTATGCACCCCCTGCCCGCACCCCCAGCAGCTGATCTCATTCCAGAAGTTGGGACAGGGTGAGGATGGGTGGTGTAGTTTTCTCCCTGGAAGGTGACTAGTTACAGTTCAGATGTGACATCTCATTCCAGGAATTCTTTCCCTGGTGGCCTATGGGATATGGCATTCCTGTGATCTGAATATTAGTGGGGATAAAAGGGGCAAGTGTTCATGTCCCATTTGGAAGCCCCAGTGGTGTCCCCTTGGATGTAAAACACACTGGCCTCTTGAGTGTAGCTTTAGCATATTTCCCTCTGAAGGGCCAGGTGGACCTGTGGGTGACACTGCTGGAAAAAGAATTCAGTCTGTCCTTCTAAGCCTTTGGGCAGTGGCTTAATTGTGCCTAATTGGTACTTAGGTTTGCTTAACAAGGTACAGTCCCATAGCATAGGGTTTCAGGCCCAGCTGGTATTCGACCATCGAGGACTGTAAAATTTAAAATCCAAGAGACACTGCTATTTTAGACTGTTATTGCCTAATGGTGATGGATGTGGGGATAAACACATGTAACCAAGAGGACTCTGCAGGGGACATGGAATGAGGGGAAAGTGCTCCCTAACAGCTGGGAATCTCCATCCAGGCCGATGATTCAACAGCTGCACCCACCTCCTTAAATTCCTGGATCTGGGTCTGTTCAAACATGGAGAACACGTTGGAATTGGCACCCTCTGCTCTCTTTTTGGCTTTCTTGGGTGCCTGGTTGGGGAAAAAAAGGACATCGATTAAGAATCAGAAGCTAGAAATTAGGAAGCTAGGTCAGGCCCTATCTCTGGGCGAGCCTCAGCTGCTCCTCTGTGAAATGGGGGTATGGTGTCCCCACTCGTCTCAGAACGGTGATGCTGGAGGGATAAAAGGACACACAATGACATTTCTCCAAGGCTGCCTGGTTCTGGCGGATCATGAGAGACTGTGGGTCTTGCAGCAGCAACTTTTAAAAACGAGGAGAGGTAGAGGCACGTCTCTGGGGATGGAAGCCACACTTTCAGATCAGCCCCTGGCAGAGTCCAGCCACTTTTGTTCTGATGCATTTCACAAAAAGTTCAGGAACACACAGAAGGAGAATTGATTGGAGTGGGGGGCGTGTGTGTGTGTGTGTGTGTGTGTGTAGGGGGNATGGGAACAGTGCTGGGGAATTAGGGGAAGGGAACAACTATGCATTTTTAAGTTAAACGATTCTGTGTTTTTAAAATTTTTTCTTTTATAATGACCTTGCATCACTTTAGTAATTAGAAGAAAAAAAAATAGACTTTTAAAAAAGCTGCCCCACTTCTCCGAGCAGATTTCAAAGGTGCTGGCGTGCCCAGGGTGGAGGGAGGGGACTGCCAGCACGCGCACACGTCTCCTGCTTGATCTCACCGAGGCCAGTGGAACCAAGCAGGAGTGAAAGCTGGGCCTGGTGTCCGCCACTTTTGAGCAGCTTCCCTTGGCCTTTCGAATTCCTAAAAGAGGAGGGTGGTGGGTGCTGGTAACGCTGTCCTCACAAGGCCGGGAACTTACAGACGATGTCGTCATTTTCTGTTCCAGGGAGTGTTGATAAACGTTGGGCTCCCTTGGCTCACTAGCCTCTGTACTTCGTATGTGTGAATTAGAAGGGGCATCCCCTCTGGGCAGGCTAATTAGGAAAAGGGGCCCCTTCTTGGTAGACATGGCTAGGAAATCAGGTGGGAGCTGGATTTCAGCCCAACCATTCATCTGTCTCCATCTGCTATCTTTGTGTCTTCTGCATCCTGAACCACTGTGGATGGCGACCCTGTCTCCTTTAGATGAAACCAAACTCACCTGGGAGAAAACACAGTTATTGTCTGGCATCCTTGGCAGTACCTCTCTGCCTGTCCTCCCCCTCCCTGAACCTCAAGAATTTTCATACTCTAGCCCCCAGCATCGTGGAGGAACCCCAGACCAGGCATGGGCATTCCTGCCTTGGGCACCCGTGAACAGGGCAGGGTCGCTGTCCCAGGGAAGGGTGTCTGCTGGGTCTGATTCAGCTCCTCACTGTGTCCTGTCTTTGGCGCAGTGGACCGGCCCCTGGACTACAGCACCCTCCAGCAGATGGTGCTCACCACCGCCACCACCAGGATGTCCCGCGTCAGGGCCTTACACTTGGAGAGCACCCCTGAAAAGGGGGACGATCTGAGGTCCAAGAAGAAGTTAGCGATCTGAGGTGGTTGGGGCCTCATTTGTACCATAACCAGAGAGAATAAATGTTTTGTTCTGTAACCCTGGTGCCTCTTCACACTGGCTACTGTGAAATTAAGGCACTGGGAGCCACCCCAGGACAGGTTAGAGGAGCAGGAGGGGTTGAGTTCCAAAACCAGCTCAGGAGGCAAGAGTTGTGTGAGATCACCATGGCCCTTGAGAACCTGAGATGGTGACCAGCATAGGTCACCTCTCACTGTGGTCCACCAGATGAAGCAGGGACAAGTGACGCATAGGGGCCAGGGGAAGCCAGGGTTACATGGGGGGCAGCAGCTGCTCACAGGCCGGAACTGGGAGCCACGGAGCCCGTGTGTGTGTGTATGTATGTATCTCTGTATCTCTGTGTGTATTTGTGTATCTATGTGTGTCTGTATCTGTATGTGTGGGTGTCTCATGGATGAGCCTGTCACCGCAGAGTTGTGTCCAGGGCACCTTGCCCTGAACCACACACTGCACTTGAATGAACTGAGCTGGGGTCCCTCCTGGGCCTCCCCAGGTCCTGGCCACAGCTCTGCATGAGCCCCAGGGAGCAGGTTCTGGGCATGGGGGACATGGGTCATTGCATTGTGTGGAACAATGGTGGGTCATCATGGTGTGGGGGACCCCTGGGTCCCTGCCCGCTTAACTTGCTGTTGGCTTTGACAGGCGCCCAGGGCTAATGTAGGGCTGATGGAGCTGACCCTGAGCTCCTTCTGCATAACAAGAATAACTCTTGTTATTCTTGAGCTTTGAAGACGTGCTCCTGTTCTGGCTCCTCCAACCACCTGGACCCATCATCCCTCCTCCGTGACCCCAGCTGCCACTGCCACCCCCAATTTTGGCTCTTTGCTCCCATCCCATCATTTACTTTGGCTGAGTCCTGAATCCTGGGATTCTCTTGAAAACTTAGAGTGCCTGACATCCACTCCCCCTTCTTCCTGAAAGGCATCTGGATTTTCCTTTGGGGAATAGCCATGTGGTTCAGGAAGGGGCTGATCTTAGCCCCAGGATGAGGGTTAATTATTTGACCCAGGTCTGCCGTTCAGGGCCCTGCACCTGTTTCAGGGTTGGTTAGGTACCCCTTAGGTCCTGTTCTGTGATTGGTGTGGAGCTGGGAGAAAGAGAGCTGCTCTCTTCCTAGTAGGATCACTGAGGGGATAGATGGGAGCGCTTTTACCACCATGGAGCAGAGCAACATNTCAACAGTGCTGCATTTGAGAAGCCCTGCTCTAAAACAGCCCCATCCCAACGTTTTTCATATCATCAACTTGTTGAAGAGGCCAGGTCAGGTGTTCCACTTTGTGAATTTGGCTGATTCTTCCTCATGGTGTCATTTAGCTTGTTCCCTTCTCCTCTGTAATTACTGAAAACTGAAAGTTAGGTACAGAGGTAGTTGAGAAATTTGAAATCCAGGAAAAGTAACTTGCCAAAGGCCATGGAGCCAGCTGGCGACCAACTCAAGCCCCTCACCCAGCACTCAAAATCACTGTTCTGTGGGCCTGGGGAGGAGGGTGGAGGGAAGACCTTCTAACCTTCTGGAAGCTTATTGCATGCCCCAGGAATGAGACCTGTTTTGAAGCACAGCCCTCCCCACAGGTCACCGTACAGTTTGACAAGTTGCTGACCACTAATGCTAAACTCCGGAAGGAGATTGAGGACCTACGGTACGAGAAGGCTGCTTATGACAATGTCTACCAGCAGCTCCACCGGCGCCTGTCAATGCACAAGAAAACCATGAATGTGGCCACTGAGCAGTCTTCTCAGGCCTACCAGCAGAGGTGGGCTGAGGGAGAGACCTTGGGGCAAAAGTGTCGCTTAGCCCCCTGCTGAGCACCTAACTTCCTGGTGTAGGCCACCACCGTTCCCTGTGCTTCTGTGGTGAGGAACCTTAAATCATCATCGTAATAACTCCGAGCAATGAGTGTGTGCCAAGCACGATGCTAGGTGCTCTGGGTAGTATTTCAACCCTCACAACTGCCCTAGGAGTTGTGTCCCCATTTTACAGACCAGGAAGTGGAGGCTTGGAGATGCTGACATACTTATCTGAGATCCAGGTAAATGGTGGATGCGATGGAGCTGAGATTCAAGTCTCTATGCTGTACCATCTTCTCCAGGAGTCCCTGCCTATAGTCCTAAGGATGTGTGTCAGTCTGGGCTGTCCCCAATTCACACAGGGGCAAGACGCATACAGTTTAGCTGTGAAGGGCACAGGTTTTGGAGTCGGCGAAATCTGGGTTTAAATCCTGGCTCTATCACTACCACATTGTTGTAGGACCTCTCTGGGTGGTGGTGAGGAATAAATAATATATGTGTATAAGGGAGTGGCTGGGACATAGTAATTGATAGACAAGTGTCGATGATGGTGATGGTGGTGATGGTGGTGGTGATGATGATGATGATGATGATGATGACAGAAAAATAATTTCCTGGGGAACAGGAGCTGGTAGCTCCTGTCATTCAGTAAGGAGGGTTATTCCTCCACTCCCAGAAACCTCCATGGTTAAAAAAAGTGATGGTCATTGGCATAAATAAAGTCTCTCTGAACTGGTAGGGGAGAGGGGAGGAGAAGGGAGGATCCTCTGAACACTCAGGCTCTGTGCCCCCTTCACCCAGACTGGAAGCCATGGCTCGAATGGCTGCCATGAAGGATTGCCAGAAGAAGGATACCTCTCAGTACAATATGGAGATCAGAGAGCTGGAGCGTGTCTACGCCCACGAGACCAAGCTCAAGTCTTTCCTGCTCCTCAAGCTGAATGATCGTCTGGAGTTCGAGGAGCAGACTAAACAGGAAGAAGGTACACACTCCTGAGGGTAGAAGG